ACATCACAGTTTTCCTTTTGTTTCATAACAATGTTTCTAAAAAAAAATCACAAATTTTACACAAAGATGTCTGCTCACATTGCTGTAACAAAATACTAGAAGCTAGGTGGTTTAAACAGAGAAATCTATTTCTCACCATTCTGGAGTGTTTAATTCTATTCAAGCTACTTTATTTTATTTTTATTTTTTTTTAAGAGAGAGTGAGAGAGGAGAGAGAGAGAGAGAGAGAGAGAGAGAGAGAGAGAGAGAGAGAGAATTTTTAATGTTTTATTGTTTTTAGTTCTCGGCGGACACAACATCTTTGTTGGTATGTGGTGCTGAGGATCGAACCTGGGCCGCACGCGTGTCAGGCGAGCGTGCTACCGCTTGAGCCACATCCCCAGCCCCGCATCATAAATTTCTTTATCTCACTTCTGGACTGGTAGGTGACATAGCTCAAGGTAAAGAACCTTTAGCATCTGACTGGCCTTTTCATCAAGTTATTTCTTACTGCTATTCTCCTCTCTGTTGATTTCATCTGATTTTCTTTATTTTCCTCCACTGGTTTAAATTCTATACATTCTATTTCTGTTATTGTAATAAATAGTTTATTTTACTTTTTTACATCAAGTCTACAGTTAAACAACTCTTCTCTCCTTAGATTACGAGGCCCTCAGGAAGTTTTGCTTGTTCCCTTCAATTTTGTCTTTATTATTATCTTGGATTCTAACTTTTCTTCCCACCTTTCATATTAGTTGTTATTGCTGTCTTACACTGTCAGTACCTTAGAAACCTACATGCTCACCATGTATTGGATATACATGTTGTTTGGATGGATAAATGACAATAATAACAGACATTTAGAGAATAAACCAGTAATGTGGTATAGCTTAGCAAGGGATTAATAATAAATGGCATTAATGTAGTCACTTGATATTTAAATATTTTCCTATATCTGATCATATACAGTTGCGCCCCACTTTGTTTCCAGTCTGGGTAAGGCAGGTCAGTATTGCAACAGAAGAAAACCCCCTCCATTTGAGGCAGCCAATGCTTTATAAATGTGTGTGTTTTTATGAGTTAAACATCTGGAGGGCCTCATGGGATCTCACTGATTTCAAACCAAAACTTTTAGTTTTTAGCTTTGGATTTTTATTTTTTGGTATAGGGCATTGAACCATAATGCTAAGCATGTGCTCTACCACTTTGATTAAAAAGATTTTTGACGTATCTTCCATTCCACAATTATCAAGAATATAAGCAACAGTGTCGGCAAGGATGTGGGGGAAAATGTGCACTCATACATTGCTGGTGGGACTGCAAATTGGTACAACCACTATGGAAAGCAGTATGTAAAGTCCTCAGAAAACTTGGAATGGAACCTTCATTTGACCCAGTTATCCCACTCCTTCGTTTATAACCAAAGGACTTAAAATCAGTGTTTTACAGTGACGCAGCCACATCAATGGTTATAGCAGCTCAATTCACAATAGCTAAACTATGGAACCAACCTAGATGCCCTTCAACAGATGAATGAATAAAGAAAATGTAGTACATATACACAATGGAACATTACTCAGCCTTAAAGAAGAATGAGATTATGGCATTTGCAGATAAATGGATGGAGCTGGAGAAAGTCACTAAGCAAAATAAGCCAAACCCAAAAAACCAAAGGCCAAATGTTTTCTCTGATAAGCAGATGATAATCCATAATGTGGGGATGAAGGAACTTTGAATTGTGCCGAGGGGAATGAGGGAAGGGGAGGTGGTGTGGGGGTGGGAAAGATGGTGAAATGAGATATACATTATTACCCTATATACATGTAATGATTACATTACTGGGATGACTCTGCACCATGTTCAGCCCGAGGAAGAAGTTGTGCTTCATTTGTGTAAAAGATTTCAAAATGCATGTCATGTAGAACTAATTAGAATTAATTTTAAAATAAAAAATAAATAAAAAGAAATATCTTCCATTCCAGTTACTATTTTCTTCTCAGAACAAGTTTCTCCCATGAGGCTTCTATGGATACCCTGGTAAATTTAATCCTAAATTATATGCTGATTCATATTATTTTTACTTTATGCTTTATACCAAACAAAAATTAAACATTGATGTTTAGATATTTCTCATTGCCTCTTGGATTTTAAAGTTTACTTCATTTACCAATGACTGACAGACCCCTTTTCAAAATGTTCTTATACTTCACAACAGTTAATACTTCTGTGCTTCTGTGAGCCAGGTACTAAGCCAAGCCTGCTACATGGATTATCTCAATGTAATTCTCACAATAGTCCTGTAAAGTAGGCACTACTGTTGTCCTGATTCTACAAGTGGGCTTATAGATATTCAGTTGAGACATCAGTCAGTTAAAACTGTTCATTTCATATCTCACTTCAATATCAGTATTGAAACTGTTAGCACAAAATTCAAACTTCTTTTCCTTTTTTCTTCCTCTGTGAGAAGAAATTGAGCTGCCTGGAAAACTGAACAATTTTGCTACAGTATTTTCAGGGATTAAGAAGATTAATGGATTTATAGTCACTAAAACCTGGAGAGCGGTCTTCAGAGGTATTTTGTATAAGTTGTTCACTTCTGGCAATTCTGTGTCGTTTTCATTAGATTATGGAAGGACTCTTCAAGACCACAACAATGACGGTTCTTTCAAATTGTCCTGAAGATGTTGAACTCTGTCACAAATTCATAGCTCCTGGATACAAGGTAACTAGTTTTATAGATAAAGCCTGATAAAGCTGCTCTCTAAGTATCTTAAATTACACATAATGAATATAATTACATTTTGAAATTTTTTTCATTTTTGTCTTTTCTTACCAAGGACAGATTAGAACATATGCTAAAAAACAACTTTTTAATGTAAGTAGACATTATTCTTTTTCTGAACTCTATTTATACTTTATCATTGAATTTATCACATTGAGTTATAATTTTTTTGTTTATGTATTTGTTTCCCACACTCCCCAAATTTGTGGCAAGACTCAAGTTCTAGTTATGTTTATAGCTCTTATGTCTGGTTTATTTATAGTTGATAATCAGTGTGTCATGAATAAATAAATTAATAAGTCATGCCAAGATAAATGAACTTAGTAATTAATGAGCTGTGTTACTACAATTCAACTTAAGTAGTCATTCTTTAGTACCTGTCAAGGATTTCATTGGCGTCTCAATCCAGGACCCCCTATGGATAAAAAAACCCAAGATCTCAAGTTCCTTACGTGAAACGGCATAGAATTTACATAAAACCTATGCACATCCTCCTGTATACTTTAGATTACCTCTAGATTACTTATAATGCCTAATATGGAGGCAACCACCACAGAAATAACATATAGAATGATTAGATCCCCAAGAAATTCTAATAACAATAGTGGCAATAGGATGATAAAATAATATTTTCACATCGTTGGTTGGGGAGAGGATCCTTCACCTTAGAACTAAAATCCTGGACCTTAATATCATGTGACACCATATAGTGAAGTTGAAGTGTGTTAGTTGGTGTGTTGGTGTTAGTGTCCTAGTTGAAGTGTGTTAGTCCTTGTATTATTTGGAAGGAAGGGAAAGATACTGATTAACATAGACAAGAATTCTTAAGTCAGACAATACTTTCGTAATGTTAAGAGTGGGCACAGAAAGCGTAATGGGGTGGTGGCGGTGTGTTGGCAGTGAATATTCCATTAATGTAATGAGCGATGAGATGGGAAGTGGTCTGTATGGCGGTGCCCTCCCTACTGCCGTCATCACTCTGGCTGCTTCATGCTCCCCAAGGCATGGATTCTGAAGTTCCTGTACATTTTAGGTATAACTGAATCTACCTGTGACTAATCCTTTAATGTGAGGGGAAAAAAGGGGGAGTTGGCAAAACAAAGAAACTTGTCTTTTATGTGATCTACACCATTAATTGTCTAATCCATGCAGACTCCACATGGCCTGTATCGTTTTGAATAAATAGAATTCAGTGTATCCTTCAGTGTCTGTTAAAACTGTTCTATATCAAAATGTATCAAGGGACCTGTACAGTGAATTTATCCCCTATGCAGTAGAAGTTCAGGTAGGATTCAATTATTTTACATTTCCTTTATACTATTAAAAGATTTCGAAAATATATAGAATACTTATCTTCTTTATTTACTCTCAATTTACTTGTCTTTGTGAATTTAAGGCAAAGAGATGTCAGTGAGGATGGGGGGTTATTGGGGATTGAACTCAGGGGCACTCAATCACTGAGCCACATCCCCAGCCCTATCTTGTATTTTATTTAGAGACAGGGTCTCACTGAGTTGCTTAGCACCTTAGTTTTGCTGAGACTGGCCTTGAACTTGGGATCCTCCTGCCTCACTCTCCCGAGCTGCTGGGATTATAAGCATGCACAACTACAGAATGTCAATTTTAATCTCTTTTCCTTGGCAGTTTTACTCTAACAATTTTAGAATAGTGTCTTGTCTTCATTCAACAATGAGAAATTTGAAATATGAAGATAGTTTGATGCTGTGTCATGCTATGTCAAAATGTCTCTTTCTCCTTTCTTCGTTAGAAAGCACATTGGAAATGGTCTCTAGAAAGAAGAAATATTTATACATATTAAGAAAAATAGGGGGGCCAGGATTGTGGCTCAATGGTAGAGCACTTGCCTAGCATGCATGAGGCACTGGATCCAATCCCTGGCACCACATAGAAATAAACAAATAAAATAAAGGTATTGTGTCCATCTACAACTTAAAAAAAGAAAGTGAAATAGGGGGCTGGGGTTGTGGTTCAGTGGTAGAACACCTGCCTTGCACATGTGAGGCACTGAGTTCCATCCTCAGCCCCAGGTAAAAATAAATAAATAAAAATATTGTGTTCATCACTAAAAATATTTTTTTAAAAAAAAGGAAAAGAGGGCTGGGGATGTGGCTCAAGTGGTAGCATGCTCGCCTAGCATGCGTGAGGCACTGAGTTCGAGTCTCAGCACCACATAAAATAAAAGATATTGTGTCCACCTAAAACTAAAAAATATTTTTTAAAAAGGAAAGGAGGGGCTGGGGATGTGGCTCAAGCGTTAGCGCACTCGCCTGGCCTGCATGTGGCCCGGGTTCAATCCTCAGCACCACATACAAAACAAAGATGTTGTGTCCGCCAAGAACTAAAAAATAAATATTAAAAAATTCTCTCTCTTTCTCTCTCTCTCTCTCTTTAAAAAAAAAAAAGGAAAGGAAAGGTATTGTGTCCACCTACAACTAAAAACAAATATATTTTTTTAAAAAATAGTAGAGAGAGTTGAAGGCCACTAAGGAAATCCATTGTCAGACTATAATTTGAACTTGAATCTCTGCCCTAAATTAAGGTGTGGGAGAATTAGAACAGCAATATTTAGAGTCATTTTGACTTGATAATGGAATAGTGACAATGTTATAAAATCTTACTGCTTCCCATTTTGACTGCTTTTAATATTTCTCAGTGTAATTGGTAGGTCATATAAAGTAATTATGAAATAGAACAATAGAATGTCTAAGCAGGAAAGAACTCCAGACAAGGTAGTCCACTCTCCTTTTACAAGTATGAATACTTAATTTTTAATGTTTGTATAGCATATTACAAAAATTAATAACATGCTTTCACTGAGTTGAGGTGATTTACATAGCTAGTAAGTGGTAGAATCAGGGGAAGAACTCAATGTGTTGATTAAACATATGAAACTCCAAGTATCTTAGCAGTTGAAAACTTAGATTTTGGAGTTAGGAGATCAGTGTATATTACTTACTTTTTATGACTGATGTTTGGCAAGGTACTGATCCTCTCTAAGCTTCATTTTCTTTTCTATAAAGTACTAATTTTTAAATTCTACTAAACACCACCACTGCCATCACCATTATTACCTTAGATATTACCTATCACTTAATATTAAGTTTTAATTTGAATAGAATTTTCATCTTAAAAATAAAACCTATTACTCAAAACATAGCTTTGGGGATTTTATTTATATTATAAAATGAAACTCTTTCCAGTTATTATATTACCTTTGTGTTACTGTGACCAAAATACTTAACAAAACCAAATTAGAAGAGGAAAAGTATATTTTGGTTCATGGTTCCAGAGATTGAGTCCATGGTCAGCCAAGTCCATTGCTTTGGGCCCAAGGAGATACAGAACATGATGGCAGAAGGGCATGATGGAGGAGTGCAAATCCATTTATGACAGCCAGAAAACAGAGGGAAAGGGGGGAAGGGGCCACTGGGAAGTTGAGTCCTTCTAGGGCAACCCCCAGTGACCCACATCCTCTTGCTTGAGTGTTAACCTTTCTCTGCTTTTATTTGTTTTCCTACAGCATTTCTTACACGGAGGCCATAGAGATCTTACAGCGAGCATCACAGAACTTTACCTTCACTCCAGAGGTAGTATTGTAATGTGTGCATGTGTGTAGTAATACATGCCTGTAATCCCAGTGGCTCAGGAGCCCGAGGCAGGAGGGTCGCAAGTTCAAGGCCAGCCTCATCAACTTATTAGGACCTTAAGCAATTTAATGCAACCATACCTCAAAAACAAAAAATAAAAAGGGATATGGGATGTGGTTTGAAGGTAAAGTGCCCCTGGGTTAAATCTCTGGCACATAAAAGAAAAAAAAATTTCTTCAAAACAAACTATTTCTCTTACTAGCAACAATAGTCATATAATATTACTGTGGAAATCAAATGGTTAATTATTTCCCAAAATTTATTCTGAATGATGTTAAAAGGTAACAGATAAAAGAGGTTATATGATGAAATAAGGTTAGTCAACATATTAACCAAGTTTCTTTTTCAGTTGAACTTTATAGACTTAATTTTGAGCCTCTTCAAATAGCTCTTTTGGGGGGAGGACTGGGAGATACCAGGAATTGGATTGAGGGGTACTCAATCACTGAACCACATCCCCAGCCCTATTTTGTATTTTATTTAGAGACAGGGTCTCCTTGAGTTGCTTAGCACCTTGCTGAGGCTGGCTTTGAACTCACAATCTTCCTGCCTCCCAAGACACTGGGATTACAGGCCAAATAGCTCCTTTTTAAGAACTCCTTCATTTTTAATACTTCATTGCTTCATGTTGTATATATTCAAGGTACACTAGGTGATGATTTGACATGTATGCATGAGGTAATGATCACAATCAAGTTAATGAAGATATCCATCATCACCCACACTGTAATTTAGATCCCCAGAATTTGCTCATCTTATAACTGAAAGCTTATACCCTTTGAATGACAACTATTCATTTCCCTCAGCCCCAAACCCTGGCAACCCCTATTCTATTCTTCATTTCTGTACAGGATCTCCTTTATTCTACTGGCAAAAATATAGGCCCAGAGAGCCCCAGTGTTAGAGTCAGTGTCTATTCCAGTCCTTTATTCCTGTACTTTAAATATTACCAGGCAGGTGCATATGCCTCTTCTTCATCTATCACTGCTGCCGCCTTCTACTGCTACTTGCACTGTTCATGTGCGCCTTTGGTGTGGACCTGGTTCCTCTTTCGTTAAAACAACAACTGAAGAAACTCTGGAACTTGCCATGGCTGACAAAAAGCCCAAGAATGAACTCAAGACTTTAACAATCATGTCAGTTTGAAGGTGGCAGGAGAAGGATGGTTCCATGGTGTGCAGTTTAAGATTAAGAGGCACAAACCATTTAGAGAACCGGTAAAAGCCTATTGTGGACAGGGTTTTTAATGAGGTAGATCAATTTCCAGTTTCATGAGTAGCAATTAGTGAAACACACCTACACAGCTGGAAATGGAGGATGGAGATACAACTGATGTGCTGCAGCAGCAGGCACAGGTTGTCTACTAAGAAGGGAACCTGCTACTTTAATCCAGAACTCTGTTCTTACAGATCAAGAATACATTCTCAATCAGAAAATTGCAATTTGGTTCCACCATGTCCTGACTACTACAGAAATGTTTTCTCTATTCTATTTTTTCCCCTTTCCCATTCCTTTATTGTACATAAAGTACTGGTGTCCTTGAAGGAATACGTTCCTTTTTTTTTTTTTTTTTAACTAACTGGACAATAGTATGTTTTGGTTGGCATCAAATGGAAATATGATAGGGAAAAATATTGATTCTGTATTGGTTCTGTGAAAATACCTGCTTTCTCCATTACTGGTATGCTAATTCAACTCTTTATATTTGAATAAGTAATTTTGCTCTCACTGTTTTCACAACAACAACAGAAAAATCTTTGTATACTTAGCTGGGTATGGTGGTACACACGTGTAATCCCAGCAAATCTGGAGCCTGAGTCAGGAGAATCACAAGTTGAAGATCAGCCTCATTAATTTATCGAGACACAGTCTCAAAATAAAAAATAAATAGGTCTGGGTATGCAGCTCAGTCGTGGAGTTGATGCTGGATTTGATCTGCAATACAAAAAGGGGAAAAAATTTTTTTTACATGCCTTGTTTAATTGTTAGAATTTTAGTGTTTTTTCATTTGTCATCTTAAAATCAAGAAGATTTTTATAACTTTTTAATATGTATTTTTAATATGTAGCTGTTAACATGTAGTACAATTTGTCTTTAGTAGTAAATTGCAATTGAAAAAAAAAAAAGCCTAGGTAGTTTTACTTTGAAGTTAAGCATGTTATTGTTTAAATAAACTCCTTGTTTAAAGTGAATAAAGAATAAAAGAAAAGTTACTGCCAGACAAGTGGGAATCATAAGGTAATGTTAAGAATGTAATGCCTTTGTCCTCAAATATCCCTTACTCCAGTTCCCTCCCAGTTGTCAGATGCCTTTGTAAGTTTTAACATAACTGTGCTAGTTTGATTTATAATCAATTAATTCTTTGTATAATTTTAGTTTAAAGTTTATCTAACACCCTAGAAGTTTTACAAAGTCAGGAATTGTAACTATTTTCTTACCACCATATCTAATATCTAGATTTTAATAAGCACATTAGTATTTGCTGAGTAAATAGATTGAACAGTGCTATTAAATATTCATCAAAGAGCATCTGATATGAGTTGACGCTTTTATTAAAAAAAAAAATCCCAAGAGAGACCATCTAGCCAAAGCTGGGCTCAATATTAGGAATTTTATCTTCCGTCATTTAATTTCCTGAGACTTAAGAACAGTGACTATAGGAGAAGCTCAAGGCAATATTAATAAAAACTAAAATTCTGAAGTCAGTTTTATTCGTCTACAAAGTGTACTTTGTTTTCTTGCCTGTGCTATTCACCTGCTGAATGCTGCTCCCTGAGACAGACAGAAAGCTTTGTGTTTTTCTGTGGGTTCAGCTTTCATCCCTCCAAGCCTTTGGCTGTTCTTTTTAACAAGTATCTTTCTTTAGTTTAGTCAGCTGTGTAACCTCAGCAGACAGCTCTACACATCACTATGCCTCAGGGAAAAGAAGCCCATGGAACTGATACAGGTTATTTTCGGGGGCTTTATTGTGTATTTTAGCTCTGCCTTCTCCCATTATCATTCCTTTTTTCTCATTACAGTGGGGTGTTGATCTACAAACTGAACATGAGAAGTACCTGGTGAAGCACTGTGGCGACATACCAGTCTTCGTCATAAACTATCCATTAGCACTCAAGCCTTTCTACATGAGGGATAATGAAGATGGCCCTCAGCACACAGTAAGAAGAGATACTAAATAAATTGGGGTGCATCATCTCAGAGTTTGGGTTTTCCCCTTATTTAATTTCATTTAGCTTTCAGCATATTTTTAAAAATCACTCTTTTACTCTCTCAAAAATGATAGCTTTTCAGACTGGGACCACAGCATGTGCCTATATCCTAGTGATTTGGAAGGCCGGGGGCAGGAGGTTCAAGTCAGCAATTTAGACCCTGTCTCAGTATAAAAAATAAAAAGGACTAGGAGTATACCTCAGTGGTAAAGTAACCTGGGTCCAATCCCCAATACTGCCAAAATTTTTTGGTTTTGTTTTTGTTTTTTAATATTTATTTATTTTTAGTTGTAGTCGGACACGATCCTTTATTTATTTATTTATTTTTATGTGGTGCTGAAGATTGAACCCAGGGCCCCACACATGCTGGGCAAGCGCTGTAGCCCCAGCCGCAGCCCGTTTTTGTTTTATAAAGGCACCTTCTGACAAGCATTCCCAAAGATTTTAGTGTTCTATTAAATTAAAAAAAAAAAAAAAAAAAAACTTGTTTCTAACTCAAGGTGTCCTTAGTTTAGCAGATGCAATTGTAGGGGGAGGTTTGTTTTGTTTTGTTTTTGTTTAAGTGACTGAGAAGTGGGCTTATAACACTGTGTAGTCATGCCAGGTCTGCTTCGGAGTGTGGTACTAATTAAAAGACTCCTGGGAAGAGAAACAGGCTGGGCAACAGATGATATAGCTTTGGTGTGATCAGGCAGAGGAACAGGCAGCTTCATTGGAGTACTTTGGTCTGGGCTATAAAAAGAAATAGTGAGGGGTGACTGTGGAGGAATCAAGGAGTTCTAGGCAGGTCCTCCTTGTCCAGATCTCACACATCTCATCTGTGTCTTCTCCATCTGCCTGTAGTTCCTCTGTCTCTGATCTCTACCCTTTCTTATCCTCTGTTCTTTTCACTCTTAATTTTAGTTGCTTTTTATTTTTCTGGTTTACTTTCCCCTTATTTCTCTTATTCTGTCTCTTTTTTTTTTAATATTTATTTTTTAGACTTCGGCGGACACAACATCTTTGTTTGTATGTGGTGCTGAGGATCGAACCCAGGCCACACACATGCCAGGCAAGCGGGCTACCACTTGAGCCACATCCCCCTCCCTTATTCTGTCTCTTTTCTCTCCTTTACAAAATTAGCTATAATATAAAATAAGAATATATTTTGACTTTTAAAATATTTATTCAATAGGTTATATTTAATACCATTAATTATAAAGGTCTGTGAGACAAATATATTTATTTCAAATTAGACCCCAAAACTAAAGTTTGCTATCTGATACTTTTTCTGTGCCTGTCAAATACTTGTGGGAAATGAAGGTTAAGCCCCACTAGTAAACAAGATGCCCCATCTTTAGTATACAAGGTTATCTGTTTGAGTATATTTCCTGTTTCTCATATAGTGTTAATAAAACAGTTCTAGCTATAATTTCCTAGATTGCTGTGAGTCACGTACTATCATCTCATCTCAAAATCCTGAAACAACTAACAACTTTGCCAAGAAACTTAGTTTCCTCCATTTTATAAAAGAAAAACTACAGCACAGAGAGACTGATTGCAGTTCAGCTCTCTACCCTGTACCAACACCCTCTCCCTCCCTCCTCTCCCCCTCCCCCTCATGTAATATCCCTAAATGGAGTACTTTAAAACTCAGTTCTGCATCCCTTTAGGTTCTCTGCTTAAGACTTTCCTTCTCTGTAAACACTTTCCTGGGTTACCCAGCCACTTTGAATGTTCCTTTTCTAGATTTCTGCAGTGCTTAAAGAATAAATAAAACTTTGTAGCAATGTATTTTTCATAGTCTCCTTATAAGTTTTTCTCTCTCAAACTAAACTCTCCTTCAGGGTTTTATTTTTTATAAAACTACACTATCTACTGCTCACTACTCATTTCCTCCAATATGGTTTCTGCCTCTATCATGCCACTAAAGTGGCCCTTGTTAATATCAGAAATGATCCCCTGTTAAATCCACAGCCTTTTTTTTGGGGGGGGGGGAAGTACCAGAATTGAACCCTAGGGGCACTAAGCCACGTGCCATATCCCTAGACCTTTTTGTATTTTATTTTGAGACAGGGTGTCACTGAGTTGCTTAGGGCCTTGCTAAATTGCTGAGGCTGACTTTGAACTCTGATCCTCCTGCCTCAGCCTCCCAAGTTGCTGGGATAATAGGCATAAGCCACTGCACCCAGCCAGAGCTACTAACTTTTAATCCATCATATCCGTTAATACAATTGTAAGTTTGTGTCTATGTGCATAAATGTTTAATCACTCTTTTCTCTGTCTTGAGGTTTTCTTTTTCACTCACCAATGTATCCTTAGGACCTAGCGTAATGCCTGGGACATAACAGGTAATAATATCTATTTGGTAGATGGATGGATGTATTGGTAGACGGATGGATAAATAGAACCAAACACAGTTTTAGACACATAGTGGCCATATAGTCATGACTTGATTTGCTAAGGAAATTGGTAGGAAGCTAGAAAAAAAAAGCTTCTACTCTAAATATTGTTAGTGATGACAACACAGTATAAAGGAAAAGTCTAATGGCCCTAGACTCAGACACTCTTAGGTTCAAGTCCAACTATTTGATCTTAGATAAACTACCTAATCTCTTTGAATTTTAGTTTCCTGGCCTGTAAAAATGAAATGATAAAAATATTTTCTGGAGTTCAAAGGATTCAATTAGGTAATATATGAAAAGTACACGTAGCCCAGTGTTTGGATGGTAAGTAATCAGTGAGTGTGAAATTGTCTGTAATTACCTTCTAAATTGTGCTAAAAGCTTTATTGGAATATTAGCATCATAATGTTTGCATGTGTTGCCATATAACATGATGCTATATAATGAGAGTTCTTAAAAGGCAGTTCCCTCAGAGATTGCACTCACACACACTTCTTACCTCAGGAAATACTGTCAGGCTTTCATTATAGCACAATCTTTCCGGTAATGTGGTCTGAAACTATGAAAGCATCACAGTGAACTTTCGTGTGCTTCCACAATTCATATACTACTATGGCATACAGCTTATCATTGCTAAATTATTCAAATATCATTTAGTTAAACTGTTTACATTAACCTTAGATTATAACATATTAGCCACCTAGATTTCTTATCATTTTACTGGTGTAAAGTGCCTGCTTCTACCCCATGTATTTCATGTTTTTTTTCAGCAATGAATATGTAGACTTTTAGGCAGATGACTAAATTCTGGATTTCTCTTAGTAAGGCTCTAATTACAGGTTGCAGATAGGGTTACAAGGGTTTCTGCAAGAGATGCAATGCAGTCTTAAAAAATAAGAAAGGTGTGTTTCATCAGTGTTTTCTCTAGGAAATCAAAAGAGAAAGCTAGGAAAATATTTAACCTACACATGGAACTCTGGGCTAAGAGTTAATACGTAGTAAAATTGTATATTTCTACAGTTATAGTCTTTCTTCTTCCTTTCCTCCAACCCCTCCAAGAAAAAAGAAAAAAAAAAAAGAAGATATGCACTGTGGGGTAATGAAAACTACCCCAGATTGAGAGCTGCTAGTTTTAGGTTTGAAATCCAGCTGTTATTACTCAAATGTATTACCGTAGATGAGTCTCTCCAATGGTCCATCTGTTTGTTTCTCCTTCTCTAGATTCAGAGGATTTGGTTTGATTTCCTGTAAGGTACTAACCATCTTTAAGATTCTCTGAAATCATGTAGTCTTAAGTTTTTCTTCACTGGCATATATAAGGATATCTTTTAAATTACCAAGCATATTTGATCATTTGAAAAAGACAGATCAGGCCAGGCACAGAGGTGCACTCCTGTAGTCCCAGTGACTTGGGAGGCTGAGGCAGAAGGATCACAAGTTCAAGGCCAGCCTCCAAAACTTAGCAAGATCCTGTCTCAAAATTTAAAAAAAAAATAAATAAAAATAAAAAATAGGGGCTGGGGTTCAGGCTCAGTGGTAGAGTGCTCGCCTGGCATGTGTGAAGCACTGGGTTTGATCCTCAGCACCGCATAAAAAATAAATAAATAAACAAACAAATAAAATAAAGGTATTGTGTCCATCTACAACTAAAAAAGAAATTCTTTTAAATAAGTAAATAGGGCTGGGATGTAGCTCAATGATAAAGCACCCCTGGGTTCAATTTCCAGTACCAATAAATAATAAGAAGAAATATACTTTGAATTATAAAGGTAAGGAATATAAGGAGGAGAAGTATATTTATGTGTAATAGACTTTTACATTTCTTGCTAATCTACTGATATTTGTCTCCATTTCAGTCTTTCCATTGCTTCAGCCAAACAACTGTTTAGTTAAAGCAATCAAGATAAAAGTGAACATAGATGTCTTCTAAGCTTTCTCGTTAAATAAGAGTATTGAGGAAGCTGCAATATATGAAGAAAGGCAAAGAAAAGGAATTCAGACAAGTTGAGAAATTATTTGTATCATCTTATTTACCTAAAGAGAAACTAACTTTGCAAGATTAGAGAGAAAATGTGTTTATGGTCATAAGAAGAAAATGAAAGAAAAGATGAGCAAAGTAGATTAAACTTAAGATTCCAAATCGGCATGTTAGAGAGTACTTATTATTAGACAAGTATAGTATTGAAGCATTTGAAAGAGGAAAATTTAACATTTATTGAGCATATACCATGTGCCTTTAATCCCTTTCTTACAGAAGAGGCCTTTACTTCTTAACACTGTGCTTTAGTCACTTGTGCACAGTCACAGAGCTAGTAACTGTTGGAGCTGAGATGGAGAGGCAGTGATGTGACATGTTTGATGGCCTTGCCAGAACACTGATATTTTTGGAATATTGTTTGGAGGAGCAAGAAAAGCAGTAGGTTACAGCCAGGAAATTTAGGTTTTGCTCATTTGTCCACCACTTAATCTTTCTTAGTTGCAGTATTCTCAAGGGATCGTATTCCTAGTCTCATTTGTTGACAAGGAAGTGCAAATTAAAACCATAGAAAGGTGCCACTACTTACC